CACTTTGACACAACCCATGAAGAAAGATCCAAACGGACCCACCACAAGGCCGAAAGCAGTGTACCAAAAAGACTAAAATCTAAAGACAGCCGAGCTCCAGGGAGGAGCAAAGAAGACCTAAGGGACTACCTCAAGAGGTGGCAGCAGAATGCAGAAGCCGAGGTAAACTCCCCAGTAAAACCGAAGACAACCTTCTCGGTGGAACTAGACAAATTCGAACCACCCAAGAGATTCAGTATGCCGAGGTTTCAAATCTATGATGGTAAGTCAGATCCAAACTTTCATGTTGGGCTATACCTAAATTCAATGGCATTATATAGCGGGAACGAGCCGTTGCTCTGCAAAGTATTCCCCTCATCCTTTGGGGAAATTGCATCCGATTGGTTCCATAAATTACCAAAAGGAAGCATAAAGACATGGGAAGGCTTGGCCGAGATGTTTGTGGCCAGGTTCGTGACCAACAAGCTGCAACCCCTGAGGGTTGATGCTTTGATGGCTCTAAGAATCACCAAGGAAGAAGGCCTTAGGGCCTATGCGAAGAGGTACTACGAGGTATTCAACCGAATACCCGAATGCAACCAGGAAGTAGCAGTCGTGTCTTTCAAGAACGGCCTGAAAGATGACTGCCCACTACGGAAGTCTTTGGCAAAAACATTGCCAAAAAGCATGGAAGAACTCATGGCAAGAATTGAAAAATACGCCAGGGCCGAAGAAGATACATCGGGAAACAAAGAAGTGAAACAAGAAAAGGGAAACGGCTCCTTACGTTCATGTCATCCGATGCATATACGAAACGTTACTTTCTGCCTGCCATGAAACGTTGCTCTCCGCCTGCCGGCAAGTCACAGACGGCAGAAGGGCTTACATCACTTCTGGCAGAGTTGAGGAGAACGAGCCACCTGTCCAACAGTTCGCTTGGACTCCAATACTCCTGTGGCCTATATAACGTATCGTATATGCAGCAAGACACAACAACAACAATACAACCAAGTCTCATGCTTAAACACTCTCTCATACTTTACATTAGTGTTCAAAGGTCTATCACTGCCAACCTCTCCCTCTCCAAGCTTGCCTTGACCTCCTCCTCTCCACCTCCGGTGATCCCAAGCCATTGAAGTGCCCGCCATCTTCAAAGACTATCTCAATAGTAACACAATCCAGTAGTGATTCAATCACAAACAACATACAGAATAACAACCATATGAAATCAGAACAGAAAATAAGGAAACAAACAGGACGAAACAAAAACTGTATTTGAAACAGGAATAATACAGAATCTATTATGGATTTTTAAACAGAACCGAATCGATTTCTAACAATAGACATGATATGACCACTCCGATACCACTTATGAGAATTAAATCTCAAAAATTTGAAATATTGAATCGTGTATCATGTGTATTATTAAGAAATCAAAGAGAGATGCGTACCTGAATCCATTGTGATGGTTGAACGGAAGCGTGATTATATGGAATAGCCTTCCAATCCTTTCCTTACGTTTATGCCTTTGAATTTCTCCTTGAGAGGATTTTGAGAGAACTTTTCATTTTGCATATATATTGGCAGGATTGGGGATCATCACCCCTTTGTTGAGTTGTTTTCAATCTGTCAGTTTTTTTTTTTTTTTTTTTTTTTTTTTTTTTTTTTTTTTTTTTTG